GCGTCACTCGGCGTCGACACTGCCAGTGGCCAAAACGTCCACTTCTGGGCGATTCAGACATCTGCAGCAAGCAGCGTCAGAGTCAACGCCAGAAGCGAGTCGATGGATGGAGAACCAATCGGCGCACGACTGCCAGCAACTTCCCCTACGTAACAGGATCGTTGCTTCTGCCAAAATGGCTGCCGCCTACCTCGGATCTATTAAGTCATATTAAGTGTGAATACGCTTTATAAGCGACCCCAAACCATCCACCGCCATCGGCGGCGTCCACAGTCTTCTCTCTATCTTTAAAAGAAAAAGGACTTGGCGGGCCGCAGCGCGACGCTCTACCGAATAAGCCACGGACGCGACGCTGATATCGGTGTCAGTAACGCGCCTTATACCCCCTCCCCCTTCGCTCGCTCCTCCGCTCTCCTCGCTCGCTGCAGCTGCGCGCGCACCCCTCTCTCTCGCGCACCCGCCTTCTCTCTCAGTATCCCGTCGAGAGCGAGTCGTGAGGGGGAGTAAAGTTAAAATCCGTTGGCATTCGCCAGTGAGTTAACGTAAACTCCCCCGTGTGATCAAATTGCGATTCCCAGGAACCATTACACCATAAAGGCACCATAGCGCGATTAATAAATATAATAGTGCGAATTAATAAATACCCCTCATAGCATCACCCCGTGTATTCGCACTTAACCATGTTCACCCTCGGGGAAATGTTTGGGAGCTTTTATTGTCTCTGTCTTCGGAGCAGAAACAAAATGCTATAGCTCAGGGTTGCTATTGGTGTTTTCGGAGTAGATGCATGTTCCTAATGACTTCTGAATTCTAAAACATTACTTAAGCATCTAATAAATATTTATATTGATTATTAAACATGCCATATGCAAGTACGCTGCTAGTATACAAGCAGTATAGTTGACCTAAATCATGGGCAGGGGTCAAGAAAGTTCGACCACATTCATACTATCAATCAGTAATAGAGAAATGCTCAGATTATAACCAACCACTATACATAGCCTTCATAGATTAGGAGAAGGCGTTTGATTCGGTAGAAATATCAGCCGTCATGCAGACACTGCAGAATCAGGGCGTCAATGAAGTATATATAAACATCCTGGAAAAAATCTACAGGGGATCAACTGCTACCATAGTGCTTCACAAAGAAAGCAATAGAATACCAATCAAGAAGGAAGTAAAGCACGGAGACACAATGTCCCCAATGCTATTTACCACATGCTTACAGGAGAGAGAGAGAGAGAGAGAAAATTTTAATGCGGAAAGGCAGGGAGGTTAACCAGAAAACATATCCGGTTTGCTACCCTGCACTGGGGAAAGGGTAAGGGGAAAGGGAGGAAGAGAAGCACAAACACACATACACACACTCGCACACAGTAGTGTCACAATCGTTCTACGAGGCGGGTCGCTCGCAGAAACTTCATCAGCGCCTTCGTTGCTTTCTGGCGTGAAGCTCGATCTTTCCGACATTCCAAGATTGACTGCTCAGAAAATGGCTGGTCGTCGAGGCGAGCAAACACTGCTGAGAGGGACTGTCGCTGAGAGCTGTACTGGGGGCACTGACATAAAATATGTTCAATTGTTTCGTCATTGTCGCAATGGTCGCATGTAGCGCTGTCTCTCATTCCGATGCGGCAGGCAAAAGCGTTCGTGAAAGACACCCCAAGCCACATACGGCAGAGAAGGGTCGTCTCGGATCGGGGTAGGCCAGATGGAATAGTAAGTCGTAGGCATGGGTCCAGGCGGTGAAGACGGGTGTGGAGAAAACCGGGCGTATTCCGCATAGACTTTGCGATATCCTGCGCAAGCGTATTAATCTTTGCTGCTGCGTCGCTTCTTGATAGTGGAATAGGTTCCATCACTCCATTTTCGTGAGCATTCTTAGCTGCATTGTCGGCATGCTCGTTACCGATGATGCCGCAATGGCCTGGTAACCACTGAAAAGATATGTCATGTCCTTCGTCTATTAGGTGATGGTACAGTTGTCGTATTTCGAGCGCCAATTGATCTTGAGGTCCACGACGTAGAGTATTGTGTAGACATTGGAGAGCTGGTTTCGAATCAGTAAAAATGCTCCATTTTTGTGGTGTCTCTTGGTCAATCCTGCGGAGTGCGCTGCGGAGTGCCGCGAGCTCCACGGCTGTCGATGTCGTCTTGTGTGACGTTCTGAACTGGATGGTTTCGGCTCTTGCTGGGAAGATCACAGCTCCTGCAGATCCTCCAACAGTTGTCGAGCCATCCGTGTAAAGTTTGACATGATCTTTGTATTCTTCGTGTAGCATGAGTAGAATCATCTGCTTTAAAGCTGGCGCCGAGAGCTCCGCCTTCTTGCGAATCCCCGGCACTGTCAAGCGCAGTTTTGGTCGGTCCAAGCACCAAGGAGGTGTTAGTATCCGTTCCGGAGGTGTGTAGACTGTTGGAAGGCACTCACGGAAAGTCAATACTCTCTTACAGAAGGAGGCACTCGGTCGATCTTCTGGAAGCGAAGCTAGGTGGTGGGCAGGGGCGCGAGCAAGGTGTCTAATATGAGCTCTAAGCACCTCCAAAGTAATGTGCACTGTGGCCGGATGATCTTTGGCGATTGCGATGGTTTCCGCTGTTGATGTACAGCGTGGTAATCCAAGACAAACTCTGAGTGCCTGGCCCTGGGCGTTTTCTATTGTGCGTATACTGCTTTTGCAAGCGTTCGTCAGAACCGGCAAGCTATACCGCAGGTACCCCAGAAACAGCGTTTTGTACAAATGCAACATCGCGTGCACTGATGTGCCCCACGTTTTGCCTCCGAGGAACTTGAAAAGTTGTGCGATGGCCGTTAGGCGCTTCTTTAGAGTGGCCACATGGGGACTCCAGCAGAGATTTCGATCGATCGTGACCCCCAAAAACCTGTGGGTCCTGGCGTAGCAGACACTGTGTCCATTGATGGCGATGGGATATGACGTCATTGCCTTCCGCGTGAACGCGACCAGCGCCGATTTCTCAGGAGAAATCTCGAGGCCTTGTTCTCTAAGGTACGCCGATATTGAATTCGCTGCTTTCTGGAGTCTCGCACGTACCTGAGGACGTGTTACACCTGATGTCCAGGCACAAATATCATCTGCATAGAGAGATATCTGCACGGAATCTGGTATGCGTTCAACGAGACCGATCAGAACCAGGTTGAACAGTGTGGGGCTCAATACACCACCTTGAGGAACACCACGGTGTGTATAATGTTCAGAAGTCGGCCCATCATCAGTTTGCATAAACAATGATCTCATATGTAGGTAGCATTGGATCCAGCGGTACACTCGCCCACCCAAACCAACTGACTCGAGGGCGTCAAGTATGGCTTCGTGAGAAACATTGTCATATGCTCCTTTGACATCTAAAAATAGTGCGACAGATAACCGTCTGCTCATTTTCTGGTGTTGTACGTAGGTCACCAGGTCAATGACATTGTCAATGGAGCTCCGAAGACGACGAAAACCGGCCATGGCGTCTGGATATATTCTATGGCGTTCTAGGAACCACTCGAGTCTGGCAAGGATCATTCGCTCCATCAGCTTACAGGAGGTTTTCAGAAGCCTAGAATGGGAACAGCTAGGGATAAGAGTTGATGGAGAGTACCTTAGTAACCTGCGCTTCGCCAATGACATTGCATTGCTGAGTAACTCAGGGGACGAATTGCAACTAATGATTACGGAGTTAGACAAGGAGAGCAGAAAGGTGGGTCTTAAAATTAATCTGCAGAAAACGAAAGTAATGTACAACAACCTCGGAAGAGAGCAGTGCTTTGAGATAGGTAATAGTGCACTTCAAATTGTAAAAGACTGTCTACTTAGGGCAGGTAATAACCGCGGAGCCGAACGAGATTGAAGTAAGTAGAAGAATAAAAATGGGGTGGAGCACATCTAGCAAGCACTCTCAGATTGCCACTATCCCTTAAGAGGAAGGTATTTAACAGCTGTATCTTGCCGGTACTCGGCTACGGAACAGAAACCTTGAGACTTACATAGAGGGTTCAGCTTCAATTGAGGACGCAGCAAGCAATGGAAAGAAAAATGGTAGGTGTAACCTTAAGAGACAAGAAGAGAGCAGAGTAGATTAGGGAACCAAGGGGGTTAAGGATATCATAGTTGAAATCAAGAAGAGGAAATGGACATGGGCCAGGCTTGTACGCTTGTACCATGCCATATTAATGCTACATTATAAGTCGTATTGTGAAGCCTGTATACAGGACGTGAGTGTTTGTTAAGCATGAGTTATTTTCACTGTATTTCTAAACAGACGCGCAGCTGTTTGGTAGGACACTTGCTTGCCACGCGAACGGTGTGGGTTAGATTTGGTAGAACACTTTCTTGGCACGCGAACGGTGTGGGTTCAATGCTCACTCAGACCGGTAAATTTTTATTTTTCGTCTGCATGTTTCATTGTTCGGTAACAGACAAGATTTTTCGCTCACAGCCAACGACGTCGACATCTTAATTTCTGCGTAAGGAGCTCTTTAACGCTATCACGTTAAAAAGTGCTTCAACTGCGTCATTTCATTGCACGTCGCTACATGCGAAATGCCCATTCTATCGAAATCAAGTAACGTATAGATAAATATCATCGTTAAGAAGAAACACGCAGGTAACATTAATAGTGAGCTTTAGTTCATCCGTAGACTTGTTTGAGCTCCCGATACATTGTTACTGCTGCAGTGACCATGAGAGGCCGGATATAGGTGGGGCCATCTTGAAACGCAAAGAACCTGGCAAGCACCGAATTCTGACAGAACCCTACCATACATTCGCCGTACCGATATTCCATAGCCTCCTTGTTTGAATTACTTGTACCTGGTCTTTTTGTACCTGGTCCGGGCACAAGTTCATCCAAATTAAAAAGTTTAGTCTTGGGCACACCCACTGCTGCCTTCGTTACGTCACCACGTGACATGAGGTAAGTCGTTGCTGCTAAAAAGTTATGCTACAAGTAGTAGGCAGATGAGCTGTATGGCAATGACCTAGAATACACTGGAGTTGAGCATAGCTCAGAGTTGTCGTACTTTATTGAAAGACAACATCGTGTAACTATGGCAGGCCGTATTGATCACATTATCATGTCAGCTGATTATGGCAATTTTCTGCATGGTCAAATCAAAAAGGCCATGCAGAAAAGGCTTAATCCGTACTGAAGCCACACCACATATTTCTTCACTTTCAAATGAAAAGTGCAACGTATGGATGATGCAGTTATCATCACTGATGAAAAACTGATATTAAAACATAGCTATAATGAGCACAGCAATAATTATGTGGTGCTACTTTTGAGAGTGGACCATTCAAAATTTTACATTGCAAAAAAAAACGTGCCCCCTGTTCCCGCCAGGGTTGCCACTGACTTTCGAGAGAAATTTGCCAGACCACGAGCGAACAGTCGCTATTTTTCTTCTAACTTTGCCAAAGTCGCCACTCTACATATATGTGGTGTGCCATTTAATAAAAATTGTTAATCATGCATAGCCCCTAGGAGTGATGTACCATCCATAACCCCTTAATTACATCGACATTTCTCAATGCCAGTCACATCAACCGCTTCACCATAGAAGAACTTACCAAGATACGGCATGCACACACCAGCAGAGTGCCGTAATGCTACCGCCTCATAACAAAAAATTTGCGATGCTTCTAGATGCAGCTAGTACAGGGCGAGGCAGTCACTACAAGAGAGGGAGGTGTGCATGGCCTGCCTGCAAATTTAGAGCATTTCATTGCAGGGCAATCATGTGTCCCATAATCGAACACACTAATTACAAAGTAACAAAAACAAATTCAAAAGTACTGCGTAATCATCGCAATACCCGCACCACACTGAGGTCATGCTTACGCTACACATTTCTCTCAATGCAGTTTCTGAAGGCTACACAAAGAAGCCGACTTCTTGACCGGCCCGAAAAATATGTTAAAGTTAAACTCTACATACCAAATCAGGGGGTACTACAGCAGTGAAATTGATAAGCTATTCAGGACAGTTAGAGCTCTGGTTGTAACATGGGGCTTAATTGTTACCAGCCAATTCAGAAGAAAACTCTTGAAGTACCCAAGAAACGTAGTATAACACCACAGCTTCACGGCACGAGAAGCAGTCCGCAGACCTAAATTTTGCTAAGAAAATTGTGAAGGACGCACCAGTGCGCTAGTGCTCGCAGGATCTTTGAATTCAGGAGATGCACTCGAGCAACAGTACAGATGTACTGAATTGCGCTTAAAGTCCGCCTTCTTCGAATAGATCTCAAACTACGAAAAACATTAAAAAAGTGTCAATTCGTTTTGGACACCCTGAGTATAGAATGCATAACTTGGTTGCGACGTAAGCCGAAAATCGGCAAAAATTGACCACGTCGCCAATATTAACTTTAGGTCGCCACGGGCCTATCAAATTCGCCAATTTGGCAAAAAGTAGCCACCAGTGGCAACCCTGGTCCTCACCCCGCCCTATTTGCCCCTTTTCTATTCACAGTTGTTAAAAACCGTAGTCCAACCCTCTCAAGCCATGGCTGGAGTAACTTTCAGTCCTGGCGACTTCTGGAAAGGTGTTCCCTTGGGTGTCTTTGGTCCCTTCTGCCCGGGTGTCTTGGGTCCCTTTTGACCAGGCGTCTGGGGTCCCTTCTGACCAGGTGTATAGGGTCCCTTTTGACCAGGCGTCTGGGGTCCCTTTTGACCAGGCGTCTGGGGTCCCTTTTGACCAGGTGTATGGGGTCCCTTTTGACCAGGTGTATGGGGTCCCTTTTGACCAGGTGTATGGGGTCCCTTTTGACCAGGTGTATGGGGTCCCACCTGCTGCCCTTGTGCTTTAGGTCCTCCCTGTTGCCCAGGTGTCTTGGGTCCCTTAGGTGTCTTGAGTCCTGCCTGCTGCCCAGGTGTCCTGGGTACCCCTGGTGTGTTGGATCCACCCTTCTGCCCAGGCGTCCTGGGTCCCCCCTTTTGACCAGGTGTCTTAGCCCCCCTTTGTTGCCCAGGCATCTTGGGTCCCCCTTGCTGACCAGGTGACTTGGATTTCTTCCTCTGTTTCTTCTGCTGGGCAGGGGTATGGGGAGAGCCCTTAGGACTGGGGCCACCAGGCTGCTTGTTGGGGGTCTCCCTTTTTGCAGTATTCGTGCCTTCTTGTGTTTGCAGATTGCCTCCCTTCTTGGCCTTTTTGTTCTTTGGGCTGGGGGCAGCATTCTGACTTGTATTGAAGGCAGGCTTGTTATGTTCTGCACATCAAAATACAAATAATCAGCTAGTTTCATGCAAGAATGCAATGCAACATGAGTAAACATTACGAGTATTCCTCCCCAAGATCACAGCCAATGAATGTCAGACCCAGAAATGCTCTCTCCCTACACAAACTGATACACTTTACCCACAAACAGTGAACTACTTCAGTTTTTGCACTTGCGGCTCTAATAAAATTCAGCATCCACTGATGCCAAGACATGACTAGGTTTAAGTGGATGCTGAATTTAGCATCACATTTATCATCAGCTTTCTAATGAAGTATCTGTACACAATCAATATCTTGCCTGAAACTGAGCTGTGCAGTCATGTCGATACACAAGAGCTTCATAATGTACAAACTGTTACAGCGTCCCAATGTCCAAAATCGATACCAAGTAGCATCGCTGTTGATCGGAAAAGCAAACCTCAAGACATGCCAGACAAAAAACATAAAAACATTGCCTTGGCAGAAAACAGCCCTTTAACTCGAGAACACCTGTACAGTTTCTGGTCACATTGTTCAACAGCAACACCACTACTCACACTATCTCAGTAAATCAAGCCAGGAATACATAATCAACCAGTAGCAGTAACGCTCATGTAGGTTTAAAAAAAATCGTTAGCCCAAATAGGCCATGTCTTATTGAAAATGAAACACCACAGCTTCCTTGCAAGGCTTTTGACTTTTTCATCAAGCTGTTATTGATAGAGCTCCGTGCGTAAATCTGAACAAATCCGATACTCACTTGCCAGTAAAAATTTTTGGCGATTCGTATTTATCTGATGAGCTCAGATTTTACAAGCACATTCTCAGCATTTAAATGGCATATTCGAACCCGACCATCATATATCGAAAGAAGCACACCTCCATGAACTCCAGTTGCTTCATAAATTATGCTTGCATATATTACACGCTTTGAGGTTATAATACAAACGTAGGTACTTTGTATTCAAATATTTATGCTGGTGAATACATGTTGTACGGCCAACCCTCCCAGACCTCTAAAGCAGTCACATGGCTCACATATTTTCGTACTCGGGCATCATTTTATCTAAGATTTCAGAGTATTGAGAATAATAATATAATGGGTCCTTTATTATTCATCCAGAAAATGAGGAAAACTGGGAGAAAAAGGTGAGGAGCACCTCACACTAGCTCCTGCCCCATAAAAGTACACTGCCACAAAACCAGCAAAACAGCAATGCAGCAGAGGAAAAGTGCTTACCCACCGAGAAAAATTTCAGTCATGACCAAAGCACACACAACACAGGCATGTCAACTCGCATATCACTGTGCCATAACACTCTGCTACATGGGTGAGTACACTACCGAACCAAGCTGTGCTGACTTAGCCAGTCTTCAAAGTCACTCTAAGCAGTACTCCTCACGCCGAACAATAATTGCCATCTGACTTGCTCGTATTTCTTTTCTTGAAAATGTGGCTCTCACCACTTTCCTATTAAGAATGTTACGCTAATAGTTGATAGTGCACACGCCATTTATGATCAGGAAGTGCCAGAGCTAGGGTTACCAACTCTTCATTGAAGGAATTAAAATGGGGAGAGGAGGGTGTACACTAATAGAGGCAGCCACAGAAATCAGTTTTCTTTATTGCAGTATCTTTTAGACCAATCCGTTATTTTATTGTTGGGGCCTCTTGAAGTTGAACTTCAAAAAGAGCTGCTCCCAACACTTCAGCTTTTGCTAGAGAATGTTCTCAGAAATGTTCTTGCACTCCACACAAAAGTTCAGTTAATATTCTCGAGGCCCCTCGCAGCCATACCCCACAAAAGTGTTTCGTGAGGGCGATTCATGCAAACTATGAGTTCCATAGTGTAATGCACGCTGTTGGGTGTGCACTGAATCACATAGGAATTTTTAACCCTGTGGATGGTCTGGCCTAAATCTCAGGCATAATGCTGTCTCGAAAGAATAAAAATATACTCCGATTTAAGACAACAAAATATAGCAGTTCTATTTTGTTGTGTTAAGTTGGAGTATATTTTTAATCATGAACTCACCCGGCTTTTAACATTTTTGCATCCCGAAAGAGACGGCGTGGGACTCTGGATGTTATATAAAAAGTCGGAACTGTCCCACAAAATCAGGGATGGTTCGTAACTCTAGGCGGGGCTGTGGTGGTAACTAGAGACCAGATTATAGGCAAATAGGCCTATAATCTTGCATTCCTATCATGCCATTTTGACATATGAGCACGAATTAGAGGTCCAAAGCTTTTATATTGTTTGTATAGCGCCTATAAATGGCTATTTTGGACGTTGGTGCCTAAATTCTGTTTTCAAAATGCCTGTTTTCGAAATTGGTGCTTATATAAACGCTATTTAACCTCCAGTTTTGCTTTCAAGTATTGCTGGAGTCCGGTATTCATGTTACCCGGCAAAATTGAGCTTTCGGAACACTGTGGGGTGCAACCGATACTCCATCTCATAAGTTACTTTCAGCATTGATTGATTGATATGTGGGGTTTAACGTCCCAAAACCACCATATCATTATGAGAGACGCCGTAGCGAAAATTTTGACCACCTGGGGTTCTTTAACGTGCACCCAAATCTGAGCACACGGGCCTACGACATTTCCGCCTCCATCAGAAATGCAGCCACCGCAGCCGGGATTCGAACTTGCGACCTGCGGGTCAGCAGCCGAGTACCTTAGCCACTAGACCACTGCGGCGGAGCTTACTTTCAGCATTGTCATACCTACAAGGTCTTTTAGCTAATAGGAAGGTCAATTAGCCTCTACACATGCATTCATCCACGCCGCGTCGTCTGGTCGCATCTCCGGCGTCTGTTCGCTTGTGTAGGGAGCAGGATGTGCTTTTGTGCATTGGCAGGATGATGAAGCACAAATGCGTGCCATGGAGTGTCATCTAGGAAAAGTGTAGATAAAAAAAAAACAATATCCATGTGGCTTTTGTTTTACTTGTCATTTACTTCTTAAATGGCGCTTCACTAGGTCACATGAGAAATCTTACTTAGACAGTGGAAGTTGTTGCGTGCTCAATGAAAAGCTTTGTATCACTATAATTTTTTAATTGGTTCATTACAAGCTGCGAAAGTATGCAAGGACGTGAGCTTGAAACCTTCACCACTCACTCGATGTAGATTTCGCAAGCCCAATTCCTTCCCTACCACATTTTGTATCTGAGCAACTCGGAGTTGAATGATCACGCGATGCGGACACATCAGCATGTCATGCCCGCGTAAGGTACATTTGCATGACATGCCCATGCCAGGCCGTGCACGCAGGCGGTGTTCTGTAGTTTCGACGTTCTTTGTAGTGTACTGCCTATTTCTGTCGGATGGATCCCTCTATGCGCGCATTTGGAGAGGCTGCCATGGATCACGTATCCTTACCACGATGCACAGCATCGCACCTCTAAAAGTCCTCTAACGGACGATGCACCAAAAACATGCCAAGCGTTGTGAATGCTGGCACTGGCCCAATGTGAGAACGGCAAGAACACTAACGCAAACAAAATAAAGGCAGCTTAGTTTCGCATCTCGCTCTACACGAAGTTAAAAAAATAGCTCGCGTAGATTCTGTTGATGTGTTTTAATATTTCCGTCAACCTTCAGTTCAGGCAACAGATTGCTCAAATTACACACGTCTCAAATAGTTTTCGCAGTGTCACATACTACTTTGACGTACGCAGGACCATTCAATCACCTCCACCATGTATTGTCATGGTGCGCACGCCCGTGAGATGAAGGTCAAGCGGTGTTCAGTCTGACATTTCACCTCTTCATGGCGCGCGTAGCGCTGCATATCATGGCAGATGAGATCGCATGAGCGCCCAGCGCAAGCATTCCTTATCGCTTCTCGAAATTCTCAAACCTACATAAGAGCCCTTTAACTCTTTCGTGCACAAAACTTCATTTTGGCGGGAAACAAGAGTTTTGTTGAAAAAAATGGCGAAATCTTTTGCTGAAAATAACTTTTTCGCAAGAAACAAAAAATTGAATTGAAAAGAAAAATTGAAAAGAAACACAAATCCCACACGTATTTCACCAAAAATTTGAACTTGGTCAAAGTTCATTGCACCTATACTTACGATTTTGGGAGCCTACAACAGTGTTTTGCCTGCCTACTTTTGTCGCCTAAAACACGGTTTTTCGGTGCCTATAAATCCGACCTCTAGTGATAATTCAATGCTTTAAAGGGGTAAATAATTATAGCTTATCATACCTCCCAACCTAGCAGGATGAAAATTCGGGAGATCACAGCGAGGAAGGGGGGTCCTTTTTTTTCTTCTTGCAATCTAACAATATTGAGACTACGACATTTACGACGCGCTGTCGTTGCTTCTGTAAGCTGCGACTACAAAAGCACGGTGGTTTAGGGCCTCCATGCATTGTGTTTTCGGCACCTGCACCTATACCACTTCACATCCTCACACTTCGTGGGCATTTTCTTAAACAATGGCTCTGCGTGATCACTTACGCTCAGTGGCATGTTGTGTTTCACAAGAAATCCCGTGTATAGACATTCTGCTCTGACTGTACTGTCTTCGCAGCTATTTCGGAAAAATTTCCTATGTTGTCCTGTCTATATGTCGGCCTTGCTACCGTGCCAAATGCTTACATCACAGGCGCTCGTGGTATACAAAATCAATACATACCACCTTCTCGCAAAGTGGCAAAGCACGGAAACTCAGTCCAGAAACACTTGCAAGTATACTTCTTTACTTTTGAAACCACCATCGACTTTCTAACTGAAAACACACAACTCCCTAAAACCACGTAACAAACACAACATACGTCTAGGAAAGCGATGTAGGCCTAGCGTACCCCGCAAGGTAGACAGATGCAAAAGTTGTGGTTGCCTACATTTGGTACGGTGGTGACCGGGTTTCGCGGCCGCCAGCCTTCGCCCAGGTGCATAGTATACTACAGGTCCTAGAATATACTTAGTCGTACTCTATGGTATGGCTGTATGGCTACAATGAACTACAAGTGTAGTGGCGAGTGCTCTTC